GCGCGCCTCCGCGCTGCCGCCGCCGCCGGCGAGCGCGATCCAGAACGCAGCGTTGGCTGCCGACGAGATCGCGGGGAACCCCACCAGGATCTTCGCAGATCTCTGCAGCCCGCGCCTCTCCACATCCCCCCACCACCGCTCGAACGCGGGCCAGTCGAGCGGCGGCTGAGTCAGGATCACCTCGGCGCCTGCGTCAATCTTGGCGACGGTCCGCGACGCGTCGCCTTCCGTGACCGGGTTTGCGACGGCCCAGAGGGATGTGGTTGCTGGGATGGCGCCGGACGCGCGCAGCGCGCCGGCGGTGCGCAGCAGGGACACACTGCTGGCGAGGAGCCTGGGGAAGACGAGGGCGCGGGCCGGGGGCTCAGGAGGCCGGCGACGCCCGCGGGGCTGGCTGAGAAATGCGCGACCGCCGCCTTGCTGCGACCTGCAGTGGTCATGCGTCCATGCGTGGCAGGCGGCCGCCTGCACTTCACCAAGCCGGTCGGCTGCATGCTGCCCGGCCCGCCCCTCCGAGGCTCGGCGCGGCCGCGTGCAGCTCTCACCTGTCTGCAAACGGCACCTGCCGCGCCGGGTGGCTGCCAGACACAAACAGCAGCGCGTCCGCGGGCGGCACCGCGCCGGCCACGCCGCCGCCACCCGCCGCTGCCGCCGCCGCAGCAGCAGCAGAGGTGCCGCCGACTTCGGGGTTGGCGCGCGCCGCAGAGGCGCGGGTGAGCGGCTCCCCCCCTGGGGTGCGGCCACAGGCGGCGCAGATGCGCCGGTGGAGGTCGGCCATGTCCCGCAGCTGCGCCCCCACGGTCTCCACGCGCCACGCGGCGCCGCCGCTGCTTCGCGGCGCCGGCGCCGGCGCTGCGGCGGCCGCCGCGCCGCTGCGGCCTGAGCCAAATTCTGTCACGTGCCTGTTTGTGTGTGCGAGTTGTCCGGTCAGAGCGAGGCGCCGCGGCGTTGGCTCGCGTTCATGCGTTCAGGAGCCAATGGCGGCGCCCCCAGTAGGCGCCTGCATGCAAATCATACCGGTACCCTCGCATGAGTGCCGCGGCCTGCATGCCTGTAGCGCACGTGCTGCTTTGTACCGCTCACTTAAGCATGGCCTTGTAGAGGCCGTCCCATGTGGTGGAGATGGGCAGGTCTGGGAACACCTCCGCGCCAAACAGCCCGGTGGCTGCCAGCTCGGCATCGTTGCCGGCGCGCTCCCCGACGGCGCGCTCGAGCGTCAGGAGGAAGGGCGCCTCCAGCGGGGATGCTGGCGTCGGAGGGGAAGCGGGTGCTGCGGCCACGCTGCAGCGGCGGCGCTGCGGCCGCTGTTGCTGCGCTAGCGGCCACGCCGTAGGCGGCGTGGACCTCCGCAGGAGGCGCGTGATGCCACCCGCTCCGGCAGCAAGAGACCGCATCCCTTAAAATCACGGCATGCACCAAGAAACGGAGAGCATGCGTTGAACTCGCCGATCACCACCCGATACTTTGATGTTGGATCGCAGTGACCAGCGAACGATACAGCGTGCTACGAAGATATCAATGAGCGAAATTTGTCTAGTTTGTGGTGTATGCAGCTTGTAGGAGGAGTCACCACACCCGGTGTCACCAGCGTGGCATTCAAAATCGGCCTGCCCAACCGGCTGCTGCCGCCTGCCTTCGGACTTTTGTCGGATGTAAATTGATATTAGGAAAGCCAATCAACATGATTGAGGTGGAGATTGCCTGATCGGTTTGAGGCGGGAGACGCGCGTGTCGAGCGGCCTGCCAAGACACAGCCCAGAGACGTTGAATATACTACGTAGCAGTGTTTGGCTGTAGCCTCGGGCGTGATGGAGGGGGCTGGAGGCCTCAGCACCACTGTCAATGGGCCAACACGCGCAGCAGCGACAGCTGCTGCTGGTTGTAGTGCAGTCCCGCCCTCAGTCGCGAGCTGCGGCAATGCCGCTGTGGCCTCTGCCCTTGCCAATCCACGTCCTGCGCCGAGCGAGAGCACCGCCGCGCTGAGCGCCGCGCCGCGCGCCGGCGCGGGCGTGGGCGGCGGGGTGCCCGCGCCCGTCGCGTCAGCGGCAGCGACGACGGGCGAGGGCTTGGCCGGCGGCTGGTACGACGACGCCGACGCTGACGAGGACGAGATGCTGATGCAGCTGATGGACTCGCAGCGGCAGCACCCCGAATCACCGCGGCCCTCGCAGCGCGCCGGCGGCGGCGGGGCCGCCGCCGCGGGCCCGCCCCAGTCGCAGGGCGGCGGCGCGGCCGGCGGCGCGCACGAACCAAGTGCTGCGGCCGCGGCGGCGCTGGAGACCGGCACGTTTGTGGAGAGCGTGTGGGATGAAGACCTGCTATTGATGCACGCGAACGAGTCCGAGCCGCAGCCATCCGCTTCGCATCCTGCAGCAGACCCTGCTGGCCCTTCGGGGTCTGCGCCGGCGGCGTGGGGGGCGGGCCAGCAGCAGGGCCGAGGCTCTCCCCTGCAGCGGCAGCATGGGGCCGGCGGGGGCGCCGGCGCGTATGGCCGTGGTTATGGTGGCGGCGGCGGTTTCGATGATGATTTCATGGATGAAGATCTGGACGACTACAACCAGATGCAGCGGCAGCAGCAGCAGCCGGAGCAGGAGCAGGAGGAGGACGAAGGCGATTGGGGTGGCGACTTCGAGGCGGCGGCGGCGGGCAGCAGCAAACCCGGCGATCCGGCGGCGGCCCTGCCGCCGCAGCAGCAGCAGCAGCAGGGGGCATGGGGCCTGAAACCGGCGGCGCCCATGGCGGCGCCTGCGGCCGAGGCAGCGGCGCGGCCGGCGGCGCCAGCAGCGGCAGCAGCGGACGAGTGCGATTACTACGACCCCTTGGAGGAACTGGTGGGCAGCTGCCTGGCGCCCGGCTAGGGAGGGCCCGCTGCAACATGCACCGGCTGCTATGTGCTGGCATGCGTGGTGGCGGCCGTCTCGCTTGCTTCCTGTGCCAGGTCCACTCAGCATGAAACGGACAAGAGATCTGTTCCCGCCTGACGCACCCACTATCCTGTGCGTGTTCCTTTCATGGACAAATCCCTTTCTCATCTTCGATCCCCAGGACCTGCCTTTCCCAGAGGCGGAGCAAGGGGCCGGCCCCGCGAAGCGCATGCGTGCGTCCGGCGCCGCCGCCGCCCCCTTTCCAGCTGCGCGCGGCGGCGGCGGCCTGTTCGGCGACGACGGCGGCGGCTTGTGGGAGGACGCCGGCGGGTTCAACGATCAGGAGGCGGCTGCGGCGGCGGCGGCGGCGGCGGCGGCGGTGCGCCCCTCCCGGCTGGCGGACCTAGCTGCCTCAGGCGACGGCGAGGGCCCCTTTGGCGCCCTCGCGCCGCCCCGCGCGCCCCGCGCG